AGATAATTAAAAAAATTATTATTTTTATTTTATGTGTATGAGTGTATTGCCTGCATGTATGTGAGTGCACCTGTGTCATGCAGTGCTGTGGAGGGCAGAAGAAGGCTTTGGATTCCCCTGGAACTGGAGTTATGGATGGTTCATAGCCGCCATGTGGGTGCTGGGAATCGAACCTGGGTCCTCTGCAAGAGCAGTCAGTGCTCTTAGTGGCTGAGCCATCTCTCCAGCCCCTCAAATCACTTTAGTTTTTGAAATACTTAAAACTGTTATTCCAAGGGATGGATGATCAAGTCAGACAGTACTAATACATGGAAGAAAAATGATTGCTCTAAAACATTCTACCAGGAGCAGCAGACTGGTAAAAACACTTGGGCTGTTGTGACTGTCTTCCTGCTTTGAGGTTCGTACTTCTTTCTGGCTTTCAGCAGCTCACTGGGCACTCCTTCAAGGGGGTTACGTGAGCCTCTGTGATCTATGGATTTACAGTTTACATTAACTTCTGAAAACTTTTAGTTTTACTTCAGATATTCTTTTCGGTCTCCCACTCTTTGAGCCTTCTAGATACTTGATTTAGCAACTTGAAACCACCCCGGTGTCATGAAGTCCTCTCTTTGCTTCAGTATTCTGTGTTTCTGTTTGCTTAGCTTTATCTTTAAGTTGGTTCATCTTTTTCTTTGTTTAATATTTTATTTTTTATGTGTATGCGTGTATTGTCTGCATGCATATAAGTGCACCCATGTTGTTCCATGCACACGGAGGTCAGAAGAGGGCATCGGATTCCTTGGAACTGGAGTTACAGATGGTTATTAGCTGCCATGTGGGTTCTGGGAACCCAACCCGGGTCCTCTGGAAGACCAGCCAGTGCTCTTAACCACTGAGCCATCTCTCTAGCCACTGATTAGTCTTTTTCTACAGTGCATACTATACTGTTAAAAACCAATGTTTTTCTCTTCCATATCCCACGGAGAAGTTTGATTTACATTTTTCAGGGTGTTTAATACCTCCCCTGGCCTCCTCAGTGATAGTGACGGTCTTAATATCCTGCTGCCGCTATGCTCATCGGGGGCATTTCTGGCTAAAATTCACTTGCTGTTTCTCCTCTTTATGAGCTGGAGTTCCTTACTTCCCTGTGTCAACTGTAGATTGTTTTCCTCCTGCTTATTGGTCATATAGGCTGAAAGATTGTGACAACCCCAAATCCCTATGTTGAATCCTAATGTCCAACATGAGACATCTCTCAGCTTGGAGATGGAGCCTTTGGAGATGGGACCTTATGAAAGAACCGCTAGTGAGCCTCTCACCCCCTCCCATGTGAGCGCACAGAGAAGAACGCAGCCCTGAGCCAGGGCCTCTCAGGCAGTTTCTTTGCATGCTGTTTGTAAGCATCCTAATCTATTGCTTCCTCTTACAGCCACCAGATCAGACGTGTTGTAGCAGATGCCTTGAGCTCTGCAGTTTACCTCTTTGGTGTTAAATACTTTTATACTCATAAAAATACTGAAGATTTGTCGTGGGTCGCGATTAAGCTGCTTTAGAAAGTTTGTACTTGCTCATCCTGCCTCTGCCCTCTTTTGCTTTGTGTTGCTGTGCAGCTTGGGGAGGAAAGGCTTTATTTAACTTACACATCCTGATCACACCCCTTCATGGGGGGCGGTCAGGCCAGGAACTCGAGTATGAGCAGAGGCAGGATCTGTGGGTGAACACTGCTCCCTGGGCTGCTGACATGGCCGTGATCAGCTAGCTTTCTTGTACAGCTCAGGTCTTCCTGCCTAGGGATGATGATGCCCACAGTGGACTAGGTTCTCCTTCATTAACCAGTAGTCAAGAAAATGTATCACAGATGTGCCCACAGGCCGATCTGATAGAGGAAGCTCAGCTGAGTTTGCCTCATCCTAGGTGACTGTGTCAAGTTGACAGTAAAAACTAGACAGTACAGTTCCCTTCGGTAGAGTCAGAATAGTGCTGCGTTCATTTTAAAATACCCCACTACTGTGGAGGAAAGACCCTTCTCCTTGCCCTAACTGCTTCCCTGTAGTAGTCTGGGGGGCTCTCCTCTCAGCTCCGCACGAACGCCATGTCCCGCTCTTCAAATTCTTTGCTCACTAGTCCTCATGGGTCTCTGATCAGTGCTGCCATCCCTCAGAACCCAGGGGATGAGTTCCAGGACCCTGGCAGATGCCAAGATCTAAGGATGCTCAGGTCGCTTCTGTGAGATGGCATGGGTCTC